ATTGTCCCAAACAGATTTCCCATCTTCATGCTGTGGCTGAGATCCATCTGTTTATCATTGGATACAACACAGGCTGGGGCAAAATGTGCCATTAATAGTTTTGGGGAGATTGGGAAGCAGAAGAGGAAATGGTGAGCCACAGAACGGTCCCCAGAATTAGCTGCCTTCTAACCAGCCACATTTAACAATCTGTTTACAGACAGCAGCAAAATTTGCAACTTACTCTTCCCAATCAATCTCGGGTTCTTTCTTACCAGGGAGAATCAAACACAGGGAGAAGAGATGATTGGGGATATGTTTCTGTGGAGAGATAGCCAAAGAGATGAGAAACTTAACTTGGCATATTTCTCCTTCTGATTGCCTTTATTTTGATAAAATAGAGTAAGAGATTATAAATCTCATTTACATTTGCAAACAAGAGGTGAGAAGAAATAATTAGCATAATTCACTAGATAATCTGCTTTTCAGGAAGATGTGGGCTTTTGACATTATCCTGCATAGGTAACCTTGAACAAACCTACGTCTATGCTATTTATAAGTTTCGCCCCATGGGTTGTTCTCCTGAGAGGTATACAATTAGTCCACTAACATGTCAATTGCTGCATAGGATATAGATGTTTAATCAGAATAATTCAAAGAAAAATATTTATTCTCCTGAATTTGTGACAGGCTTTAATTTTTCACTTGCATCTTTTAGGATGCCAGTGTAATGGAATACTAGTCTAATATATTAATCAACGTGTTTTATCTTCTGATAGTTTCTGTTACCTTTGACTCTGCCCCCTTCAGGCAGTTAGACTGGAGGAGTTCATCCCCTCAAAGGAAGATTGTTTTATCAGAACTCTGAGAACCAGAGTGTTAAGGCTTAGATCCCAGGTAATTGACAAAAGAATCAGAGGAATATGTGACCAATCCCTACCATGAACCCTTGTCTTCATAAGTATGTGAACCACACACAAAACTAAAACATTTCACCCATCTGATTTGCCCAGAACCTCCTGACGCTGTATGCAATTCTGAACTGTGTCCCACCTTTGTCTAACTAATATTACTTGTGCCTACTCTCCTATGCAAGACCTGTAGAGTAAAACTATAAGTAGGCTAGTTTTCCTGTTCTCCAAGGGCTTAAAACCTCACAGAGGAAGTAAGAAATATATCCAGATAAGCCTAATACAAGGCATCATGTGAAAGTGCACCACTCAATCTAAAATGCCACCTCCCACAGCACCTATGTCCTTCACACCATCAAAACCTATTATTATTTTTTTTGCGGGGGTTACTTGCATGTTAATGGTCTTCCCAACTAGAATAAGCAGGGATTAAGTCTGTCTCTATACAATAAGTATTCCAAGCATACAACACATAGCCTGACTATTCGAAGCACATTTTGTTGAATGAACGAAGGAAGGAAGGCATGAACTCACGCCAGGGTCTATTTTTGTTCTGTGACTATATCAAATTTTATTTTTCTGCAAGAGTTTAGAGAAGTAGGCACCACCACCAACCGCTTCTAAGCCTAGGAACTGCCCCGGAATCTTCCTGCAGTTTTGGAGAGGGCTTGGAATAGATGTGCAAGGTGAAGCCAGCTCTCTGATTCTCTGGAGGCATTTGCACACAAATGCACCGGCAAGCCTTTGAGAACCACCCACTTGGCCCAACAGACGGACACAGTGAGAGTGTCTCAGAAATTCCCAGGAAGTACGGCAGCTTGCAGACAAGCTTTTGAAAACTGCTCCAGTGGGCTTCAGTGTCAACTCCTCTGACCTTCGAGGGCAGCTTTACAAGCTCCGCACTGGTGCACCCCACCTCACCATCCCCACCCCCAGCTCTTGCAAAAGTTGTGTAAGTTCCTAATTCTCAATTAACCTCTTTATATCTAGGACACAAAGAGGCGTTTCTGTTTTCCTGGCCAAACCCTGACTTGTCCACTCAATTAGGGAGTGTGAGTTTACCCTGCCCCTACATACATGAACAGTGTCTATTTCTGGAACATTCCATCTTAGTGATTCCAGATTAACTTTCCTATTGCACAAAAAGAAACCAGTCACATAGAGAAAACACTTTATTTTCACATAAGACAATTGATTTTCAGTCAGTCTTTAAGATACCAAGCTCGTTCCGCTTATTAAGCTTTCAATATTTCTGAATAATAATGCATTTTAATTCATGATGATAGTTTAGTTGGGCATCACCAATAACTTAAAATGAATCCATACCTCTTAGCAGGTATCTTTTTATTCACATTTATAGGAAAAGCTGAGACATGTAAGAGCCAGTAGTAGCTCTGATACATCACAGTCCTTAGAAGTAATATTAAAATCCCAGTATCATTTGAAATAGAAGCTTTCAAAAATAATGGTAATTTTGGGGGGCTTCCCTGGTGGCGCAGTGGTTGAGAGTCCGCCTGCCGATGCAGGGGACACGGGTTCGTGCCCCAGTCCGGGAGGATCCCACATGCCGTGGAGCGGCTGGGCCCTTGAGCCACGGCCGCTGACCCTGCGCGTCCGGAGCCTGTGCTCTGCAACGGGAGAGGCCACAGCAGTGAGAGGCCCACGTACCGCAAAAAAAAAAAAGAGGTAATTTTTTATATGAATGTTATAAGGGACACCCTTTGAAACTTAACTTTAAACTTAAGAATATGAGCCACACATATTCAAGCGATTTTTTTTGGGGGGATGGGGGAGGCGCCATGCAGGCATGTGAGATCTTAGTTCCCTGACCAGGGATCGAACTCCGTGTCCTCTGCAGTGCAAGTGCAGAGTCTTAACCACTGGACCACCAGGGACGTCCCCACAGTTAATTTTAACTCTCAGGATTATTTTATTGTATTTTCCTGAAAATTTTTACTCAAATTTTCCACTTGTGGCATTTCCCAATGCAAGTTGGTCCCGACGTCTGCCAGGTCCACAGGATTGCTCACAGATAATGCCAAGGGTACAGCAGTAGCAACAATATTGAAAAAATAATACAAATTTTTTAAAAAGATTACCCCCAATTGAGAACAGAGCGGCCCTTCCCTTTGTGGATTTATGAAACAGGCTTCTCCAGGCAATGTGTTCAATAACCTCAGGGTATTATAAACACAGAGCCATGCGGCTCTGAGACCCTGACTTTTCTGGGGTTCACACTGGCCTCTCCCCCTTGGGAGCTGCCACACTGCCCACAGATGGCTCGTGTCTTCCTCGCTTCTCATCCCAGGCTGCACCGGTGTCCCAGTGCTTGGTTTCCCACGTGTACGGTTCAGAGCTCCTCACTGTGCATCCCTGTGGCAACCAAATCTCCTCCACTGACGTCTTGTGCCCATGCATTCACTTTCTGTCACCTACGTTATCCTAAAGCAATGATGGAAAGGAGAAAGGGTCTGAACATTTAGTGAAACACAGGGTGATGTCCGTGAGAGTGCCAGAGGTGCTGATTCCAGGAAGACTGGGTGACACGAGTCTCGTATTCCTCTTTTGTCATGATTAATGCCAACTCTTACAGTAGCAGTGAGTAGTGACTGAAATAGCGTGCATGAAGCACGAAGCACAGTGACTGTCACATGGGAACAACCATAACACTAGTGGAAACTAGCGCCGATTCAGCAATAAATGCTTTGGGGGAAAGGAGCCTTGCTATGCGACTTACCCACTGCGACTGGGGCCAGAACCCTTGGCCTCCCAGAGCCCTGTGGCTTCATCTGTCAGATGAATCTAGTGACACCAGTGCTGCTTATTCGTCAGCTCTACGTCAAGCAAGTGAGAACACCTATGTGAAGGTGCACTGTAAACTGTATACCCCTAAACAAAAGACAGCCAGTGTAAGTCGCTCCCCTACCGGCCAAGCTTGCCTTGGTGAATTGGAAATCTTACGAGGCCACAGAATTAGAAGTACTGGGAATCACTGAGGTGGAATAATGATTATCAGATAACTTGTATTCAATGATAATGCCTTAAACCAGTTTGAATTGAAAACCTCTAAATAGAGACAAATCAAAGCATAACCTATTTTTGTCAAAAAAAGAAGTGGGCAGGAAAATAGAAGTTCTACCAAAGATGAGAAGTTGCACATGCTGTATGTAACTCTTTTACCGGGGGCAGGAAGTGCCTGGAGGCAAGTCCCCCATATTCCTGAGCAGCAGTGTCCCCTGCGACGCACACACGGTGATACCTCCCAAACTCCTCTAGCTAAACTCCTACCTTGCAATTCCAGAATCACACAGTATCCTGTATGCTTTAAAAATATATCCATTTTACACGTACAAACAATTTAAGAATACATTGCAGAGACTGTTCAATCATAAGATTTGGCTTTTTTTTTTCAATTAGATAGAATTACAAGAGGAAGGAGGAATGTCATTACAAAATCTGGGTGTATGGGAGGGCTGGAGAAGGACCGCAAGCAAACCTTAAGCTATGCTATCGGGCAGAATTGAAACAGGTCGTCAGGTTTCTGAGTGTGGAAAGGGAAGTTTCACTTGGACTCTATTCAACAGGACATGGGCCTGGAAGGACCGCTTGAGTATTATGATAGAAAAAGCAGTTATATAAGTTGAACAAATGCTCCTTTTTTTCAGGAATGTCTTCACACAAGTTGAACAAACTGTCAGCAGCCTCAGGGAAACAGCCACTGGTAAAAAAGTTTGTTCAGTACTCAGCTGATAGGCATGTGTTGCAAAACTCTCCCCGGTATGTATTACCATCGCCCTGCCCCCAGTGCACAAACACACAACCACACAGCAATGGGCCTGAAAGCGAACCAGATCAAAGTGGACTGCTCACTACCCTTTTGCCTTTCTGAGTTCCCGCCAGCAGGTCGGGCCGGTACAGGGATGTGTGCCTCTTCCTCGTTCCTCCCAGGGCCATACCTGCTCTGGACAGAAACACAGGCCTCCACCTCCATGACCGTTCATCTGATAAAAGCCACATTGTTCAAAGCCACGCTAGGCAAAGCATCACAGATTGTACCACGGGAATATCTCCGCAGCAGAAAGATGGCTTCGACGACCTCATCTTTCTTACCTCTCATTCTAGGATCCTTTAGAACTTTTCAAGGGAAGAAATTCCAGGTGGGCTGAAGAGATGGAAGGGGTGAGAGAAAACAAACAAAAAAAGAGAGTAAAAGTCTTTTCAAATCACTTGACCTGTGTTATTAGTATCCCCACCCTAAGAATTGAATCTTCATTTACCGAAAATCACTTTTGCTTGTGCGTCACGTGAAATCTGAATTTCCCTTGCCGGCTTGTTTCAGGGTGCCAAGACCAGCATATTCGGATTTGTCATGTCATAGAAGTCAAAAAGAAGAGCGCATTTCCCTCCCAAGGGCTGTCCAGGAGCTATTTGCACAAGTTATGCAAAGGTTCGGGTCATTAGGTGAATGGAGCAGACACCTCCACCGTGGGATGTTAATGGAGGGCTGATTAATCTAATTCTTACCTCCTCTTTGAAAGAGGCTACTGTTTCTGTCTTGCGTGTCTGCGGGAAATGGGCCACATGAAGGGCATAACAACAACGACGGTAAACCACCTGTGCTGAGCGCCCTGCGCTTCTGAGGTCGCTTGGTGCTCACAACAGCGCTCGGAGGGAGGCCAGTGATGCCGCGGGTCCTGCACTTCCTTCCTGTGCACGCCCCGCAGCTGCCGGGTGACACACACGTCTTCCCCCAGCAGTGCTCTGTGGCCATTGTTCGCAGCGACTTCCGCCACCACTTCTTGACGTCACAGGATGTCGTGCTGCTGCTGCTAGGCTAGGGCTCCACAGCCACGAGGATTCTACCCTTTTCTATTTTTATACATCAACACAGATGTGCCTTTCTGGGAGTTGTTTTTCAGGGAATTTGTACCTCCTTTCTTTTCCTGGGCTGTTCTCACGCGCTTGTCATTCATTTCCCAGCCGCACGTAGTGCAGCTCGACGAAGGGATTTCTGAACTAGTGGTTAACTGTGCTGCAGGGCAACACTTCATTGAGGCAGTGTGTGTGGCATGTGTGCGTGTGTGTGTGTGTGTGAGTGTGTGTTCTCAAATGAAGCTACAGTGTATAAAAGCACAGGCTTTGGAATCAAACAGACCTGGGTTAGAATCCCAGCTTTACCGCTGGTTCCTCTGGACACTTAGATTACTTCATTTCCTTAAGCCTCGGTTTCCTTATTGGTAAAATGGGAATAATGATAACACCTAACTCAAATAGATGTTGTAAAAATTAAATAAAATTTTGTATAATATAGAGTTATTGTCACTTGAAAAATACTAGCTACGATTATCACTATTTTTTCAGACTTTTACCCTGCAAACCTCATCATCGCCATCCACTTAAATTGTACTCCATTATATGACCTCACCCTTCCATACTTAAGTGGATTCCCCAGGGAAACTTGCACTTACGTGTACAAGGAGAACTTTGCTTTGAAGCATTGTCTATAATAGTTGTTAGGGGCTGAATTACGTGTCCCCAAATTCGTATGTTGATGTCCTAACTCCCAGTACCTCAGAATGTGACTGTATTTGGAAACAGGGTCCTTAAGAGGTAATTAAGTTAAGATGAGGTCATTAGTGTGGACCCTAATCCTGTATGACTGGTATTCTTATATGGAAAAGAGATTAGGAATCAGACACACGCACACAGAAGGAAGACCATGGGAGGACACAGGGAGGAGAAGAAAGCCATCTACGAACCAAGGAGAGAAGCCTTAGAAGAAACCAAACCTGCCAACATCTTCATCTTTTTTTTTTCTTTTTTATGGCTGTGTTGGGTCTTCATTGCTGTGCGCGGCTTTCTCTAGTTGCAGCGAGCCGGGGCTACTCTTTGTTGCGATGCCCGGGCTTCTCATTTCAGTGGCTTCCCTTGTTGCGGAGCACGGGTTCTAGGCATGGGGGCTTCAGTAGTTGCACCATATGGGCTCAGTAGTTGTGGCTCATGGGCTTAGTTGCTCCGCAGCATGTGGGATCTTCTCAGACCAGGGCTTGAACCTGTGTTCCCTGCATTGGCAGGCTGATTATTAATCACTGCACCACCAGGGGAGCCCAACATCTTCATCTTGAACTTCTAGCCTCTGCAATTGTGAGAAAATAAATTTCTGTTGTTTGAGCCACCCAGTCCATGTACTTTGTATGGCAGCCTTAACAAACTAATACAGTTGTCATTTTTTTTTCATAATCTGGTGTATCGTAATTGGATTAATCATGATCCTTGGTCCATGATGCCTGTTCAGCTTATATTCATTTACTTATTTTTAATAATGTAATAAACATCTGTTTAACCCATCTCCCAAAACAAAAATAAAACTAGAAAATCACTCACATCTAATCACATATTCCCCCACCAACCTCACCGCTGTCTCCTAAATGTAAATAAATTACAGTATATTCATAGAGTGGAAAACTACACATCAGTGAAAGTGAATGAATTAAAGCTATAATTATTAACATACGTAAATCTCAAACACATATTATCCCTGGGGAAAGAGGGGATATGGGGACAGGATTGGCGTGGGTACAGAAAGGGTTTCAATTGTATTTGCAATGCTCTATTTCTTAAGCAGAGTGCTAGAATGCCAACAAATATTGTATCACTATCTATGCTTTTCTGTATGCCTAATTCTTTCATAATAACAAGTTTTATAAAATAATTTTTAAAGTACTTTTTCTGCAGCTTTGGTGTCATCCTCAGTAAAGGGGATTAAAGATAGAGAAGGAAGAGGTGCTGTGGCCTGGGAGGGACCTCATCATTCACTGCCATCCTCACCACTATGTCCCCCTTCTGAACAATTTGCAGAATTCTGTAGCTCTGGTATCTGTGACCTCCCTGACCTTGAACTTCACCAAGACCATCCTGATGGATCCACAGCCAGGCGGTTCTAGAAGTTATATTTCAAATCCTTGGTCCGTAGTTTGCCATTTGCAATGGAGGGCGGCTGTAGGTAACTAGGTAATATGTAACCACCAGGAGAGACATATGGCAAAATAAGTAAAGTGGAAACTATCATTGTTTTAGGAGTTTTAACTCACTGTAAACCAAGTCAACAAAAAGTAAATTCTGTGTAATGGAAAGCTTTAATTATATACTAAAAAGGCTAATTTTAATATGCCAGATCAGGTTAAGAAAGAACCAACTGAGCTTTTATTCTCTAAAACCACAAAACAAAACTGCATTATGCAGCAGCACGAACTCGGAGAGAACTGAGATCAAATCCAGTCTGATGTAGACTTGCTCTTTGACTGGCAAATTACCTAAGCTGTGTGGGTCTCAATGTCCTTTTCCTAATATAGGAACAAGGATCACTACTCGGCAGGGGTGCTGTAGAATTGCTGGAGGTGACACATGTAAAGCACCTTGCACATTGCTGCCATGTGGCATGTTTCCAGCAACTATAAATCCATCCCTTGCACCCTCAGACAGTTACATTATCCGAGATAAACAAGAAATTTAAAAGAAACCAAATTGTTATTACTGCAACTATTCCTGCGATTCCCTTAAAGTCTTCAATGTCCCAGCAAAGGCAGGAAATGAATGTGAAGGAGCAGAGGGGACAGGGGTTCACGACAAGTATATGAATTCCTTTTTACTGCAGGTTCCTAATCCTTAAGGTACGGGCTACCAGTGAACGTACAGGATCAAAGCAGATTCAAGGGAGAAAGAGACATTTAAAAAATGGTAAATGCTAAATAATGAGGAAAATATTATAATAAAGATATTTAATCTGATAAAAAGAGATGTCTAATGTGGTTTTATTTGTGTCTCTACATTTTCCTTTAAGAAGGAAAAATGTCAAAAAATGTTCTTACAGTTTTGAAGACCAGACAGAGCAAGAGGATGTGGATTTGAATTAAATCAGAGAGATTTCAGTTAAACTTAAGAAAAAAACATTCTTCACCATCGGAGATAAAAACCACTACAAACAGTTACAGAATTTCCATCCCTAGAGACCTTCGAATGGATTATTATTTGTGCTGAATATTTTGGAGTATTCCCTGCTAAAAAACAAATAAATCCTTTTCAAACCCTATGGTTTAAAAATATCTATCTAGCTAAAGATATAGATATATATAGACCTGCATTGCACATGGTAATGGATAGCTGTATATAATATCCTAAAATGTTACTTTGAATTTTTATCAAAATTCTAATGCTAAATAAACAGTTTTTAGATCCTGCTTATTTTAAGCACAAATACTGTATCAAAAGCATTTCCCCATGTTACTTAATGTTCTCTGAAAACATTAATAGTCCCTCATTTGGTGGTTTCAGTTTTTTCTTTACTATAAACAACTGTGTGATGAACATTCTTGAACATAAACGTTTTTGAAACTCTTTTTTGTCTGTTGCCCTCCAGAAAATGTGTACCAAGTTTCACTCCAAACAGAGCTACCTACTTCACTTCACCCTCAATTGCTCTAAGACTAACATGTATAACCTCTTTGTCTTTATGTTTAGCAGGGAAATAGTATCCCATTGTTGTTTTAATATGCATATCTTTGATTACCAGCGAGGCTAGAGAGTTTTTTAATAAGTTCATTCACAGCCAGCTTTATCCTGAAAAACTTTTATAAATAAAAGCCAGCCTTCTGAAGAGTCCTCTACTTATTTGTCTCTGCAGAGACCCTTGAGCAATAGTCTTAATTCAAATTTAGCGTCACAGCACACCTTTATTCACAAAAGAATGACCTTAGCCTTTATAGAAACTCTCATGTTTAATTTAAAATATTTAATTGTTTTTTCTTTATTAAATAATATTTCTAGAACAATTAATGAGGGCACCAGTAAAAATAACCTAGATAGAACATTACCTGTATTAGAACATGCTTAAAAGATAATTTTGAAAAGTTCAAATCCTAAATGGAGTATATACATTTTAATAACAGGAAGCTATTATTTCTATTATCTTATAATTATTAAACTCTAGACATCAAACATGAGCTTTAATGAACAAAATTCTGCCATTTTTTGGTCACTCATCCTTAAATAACCATCAGGGTAGGGAGTTTTTCTCTCTATTCCTCAATATAAAAACTATAGGAGCTTTAAGCCATGATGGAGTAACTAGAATCAAAATAGCTCTTCCTCTCTCCAAAATAATTATAAAATTGAACAAAATAAATGTTTCCAGGAAATGGTCAACAGGCAGTACAAGACAGTAATCCCAGAGGGAATATTCAAAATTTCCTCACCAAAATGAAGAGAAAGGGAGTCCAAGCAGACCATGGTATTTTGGCTAAGCTGAGAAAGCAGAGAGCAGAGATTCAGGGCAGCTAGAATGGCTGGGATTTTCAGGGCAAGGCCACTGGACAGGAGGGAGCTGTGCAGGAGGAGGGCCTTGGAAGTCTGTGTGGGAGTCTCCAATGAGTCTGTCTGAGGGTTGTGTTGTAGACACAGGGTGAGTGAGTGATCTCACTCAAGGCTTACCAGATAGCAGCTGCTAGAGTTGAGAACAAAACAAAGATACTAGAAATTGAAAGCTGATGGGGGATGTGAAAGCCCCAGCCCTGCCAGAATGGAGATATCTAATTAACACCCCATTAACACCCTTGGAATTCATCTGAAACAGTGGAAGTCCATGTGTTAGTAAAACCTACTGTAAACCTGCTTTAACCAACCTAAAATCTAGCCTAGGCAAGATCTGTAGGGAAGAGAGAGATTAAGTTTTACCAATTAGAGGAGCTTCAGATATACTTTAAACTTTCCAAAGATACAAGTTCAAGGTAATTGGCCAAAACTGAACTGCCTGCAAACACAAGAATTAACATACTTTACAGAAAGATAACAGAATCCAGAGTCTTTACAACCATGTCAATAATTATATTAAGTGCATATGGACTAGACACCCCAATTTAAAAGCAGACATTGTCAGACCAGATAAAAATGCAAAATCCAACGGTATACATATTAAATGTAAAGAAATAGATAACTCGGGCATAAAAGGTAATTAAAAAGTCATACAAATAGTGAATGTAAGAAAGCTAGAGTGGTTATATTAATATCAGACACAGTAAACTTCAAGAAAAAGAGTATTATAAGAAATAAAGTAGGATATTATATAATAATAAAAGAAGTTTGTCAAAAAGACATAACAATCTTAAATACGTATGCACCTAACAACAGAACACCAAAATTCATGAAGCAAAAACTGACAGGCTCAAAGGGAGAAACAGGCCAATCCACATGTTCAGAGATTTTAATACTCCTCTTTCAGTATACTTGATAGAACGAGTATAAACAAACTCATGATGGGTATAGATTATCTAACTAGCACAATCAATCACATTAACCTAATTAACATTTACTGACACTACACCCAACAACTGCTGAAAACACATTTGTTTTCCAGAGCACATAGAATGGTCACCAAGATAGACCCTATGCTGAGCCATAATATAATTCAATGAGTTTCAAAAAGTTTAAATCTTACAGCAAACGTTTTCTGGCCACAATGGAAAAGAAATAACATTGAGTGCTTATGTGGGCAGGTAATGAAAAAGCATTCAAGATAATTGTGTCTAGGAAAAAAAACATTCATCAAGATTAGGATGAGCAGCGAAAATAATTTATGTGAAAAGAAAGAAGAACTAAAAAGACTGAGAAGTCTTAGAAAGAAGAAAATGATAACAATCAGAAAAAAAGAGAGGTTCTATGAAGGAGACACAAGAGGCTTTATTTTTATTCTTCTCAAAGTGATCCCAGTAATGAGACAGCTGTTAGCAATGCAGGTCACT